TCTCTATCCTATAAAAAATGAGATTCCATCTATGTTTCTTGAAATGGAAAATAATCATAATCTTAAAAAAAAAAAATATTTCTAATTGAGAAATACTAGTGCTCAATAAATTTATGAATATTTAAGCGACTCATCAGTAGGCATATTATAATGGCATTGCATAATATCATTTTTCGACATTCGATTAGACTAAATGTTGTCAATACATATTTATTCAAATCTGAGGGCACGGTAATGCCCCCGCCAAGTGAAGCAAAAAAGCGGCACGGCCGTACCATCCTTTTCTGGAAGCAGTTCCGGCCATTTTCGATCCCCTATAACTTCGTTATGGATAAAACTGAAGCCTGTTTAAGAATTAGTTTAAAAATTATAACTCGTCAAAGTTTCTTAATTTTGTCACTCACTGATTGACCGATCATCAAAACTCTAAGGCACTTCTAGCAGACGTAGAAGCTTCAAATTTAGAATACAATTAGTGTTTAGTGTATTAATCAAGGAAAAACTAAAATATTTTGCAATTTTTGTCCAGTTTTCTAGATACATCATCTGCATAATTAACTTTGTAATCCCATATAAATATATAGGATTACAAAGTTACATTTGCAGTGAATAAATCAGTGTTCCTGTATATGTATAATATAATAGAATAATAGGTGTAAATAGGAACCTAGATATAACTATTTACAAAAAGAAATGAGATGCCGTCAAAAACATAACTTGTAAAAAAAAACAAGTTTCGCAACTCAGTTGTTCCACCGTAAAAAGTTGTAAGATCCATGTAATACCAAGTCTGTTAATTTATTTAATCCCTGAATAAATAAACTGAATAAATTAACCGACTTGCTATTACATGGATCTCAGAACTTTTTACGGTAGAAGAACTGAGTTGCGAGACTTGGTTTTTTTTACAAGTTATGTTTTGACGGCATAAATTTGACTTTGTATATCAATAACATGCCAAAAAAGTACATCACTCAGCTGAAATGAATTTCGTACGTTGACTTGCTTTCATTTTGAATTAAACTTCATTACCATAATGTCCGAATTGTAATTAGACACGCCAATATTTTCAATTTGCTCAGCTTGTTTTTTGTTCTTAACGACCTTTGTTCAGCTTGTTTGAAGTGTTCTGAACGACCCGAACGACTGCTATCAACGAAGAATGAAAATTAGTTGCTGTTTAATATTTTTCACAAAATTATCATGATAGATTAATAATAATTTCGACCCGACTACAGCAAAATCAAAAGGAGGGTTATGATTTTAGCAGGCTATGTACGAGTATGTATGTTCAACTGTTTCCTCAGATCTAAGCTATTTGCCATATTTTGATAATTTTGATTCCACAAATGAGGTTTTCTTAGAAGCGTCATGCTCTTCCCCAGGTTATAGGCTATATGACGTTACGTATAATCCAACATGTTGGCTTAATGCGGATCTTAAGTGCTACCAAAAATATTAAATGATGATTATAATATCAATTTTCGAATCTACCGAAAGGTCTTAACAAGTATATTCCGAAAACACATCGATTAGTAAAATAGAAAATATTCAAATAGAATTGATACGCATACTGATTTGGTGCTTTAGGGAATGGCACTATTTATTCCATCATCTGTAGTACCCACATGTCAGCCTTGATTTGATCGCTCCCGTAAAATTGTATTACGCAGTTATCAAGTGTTTTCAGGCCTAGGCTAACATTGGGATGTAAATACCTATACCTATTTACCCTTAAAATAAGTCTAACTTCACTCCCAGTTCGTCAAAAGAGTTATTGCCAAAGCAAAGTCAGAGCACATTGGTAGAATTAGTGAGAAACTTGTTCGCCTTTCCTCGGGAAGTTCAATTGACAGAAGTTCCTTTAGACAGCTAAGGGAACTTGAGTCAATAATCACTTTTAATTCTAAACAGTAAGGACAACTCGCTTACAACTTGTGCTGAGGATGTGTGCTCTAGAGCACTTTATTACATGGTAGAACCATGCTGCAGCTATATTAGTAGTATAATTGTAGCACGAATGGGTCGGCTCGACTGCGGAAGGACCACGCTCTCACAGAATACTAGCGTAAAATAGCAGCTTAACACTGCTGTATTTCGTATGGTGAGTGTATCTTCGTATAATCTTAGTCCATACGGGTGTCAACGCATCTGCATTTTGATTCGCAAACGAGGATAGATGTAGATGTCTATGGGCGACAGCAACCACTTACCATCAAGTGGACTGTGTGATCATTTGTCACCCTATCCTATAAAAAAAAAGTTGGCATCAGTTCTAACGCATCTTTGCCGGGACTCTCACTCTCTAGGCGTAGTACTAAACTCCGAAATACAGCTTTCGTGCACCTGATCCCTAAAAAACGTAACCGCTCTGATCCGTCCAATCACAGGCCTATCGCAATCACCTACTTGTTCTCAAAAATAATGGAATCCATTATTAAGTGCCAGCTCACGCGGTACCTCAAGGAGCACCAGTTGATTATTTATCGCTAGTACGGTTTCCGTGGGGGTAGCTCAGCTCATAATCTTGTTTACCTTGGCTGCTTAATTTAAACATATCGAAGGCCTTTAATCGGGTTTGACATATGGCGCTTCTTTCGGAGCATCCTTCTTATGGGCTTCCTGAGAAATTTCTCTTATAGACTCTTTGAGGTGACGTGTTAACATAATAAGATAGGAGCTCAAAAGTTCCTTCTCCCATTCTTTTCAATCATTTTCGCCCTCTATCCATTCTACCCTTTCTTTCCAAAATTTTAGAATCCTGTGTTTACAAATAAATTTCTACATTCATTTCGAAACATAGCCTACTGAGTATATATCAGTCTGGGTTTCGCCCTGATCATAGTACCAGTACTGCTTTAATTAACGTTACAGATGATATTAGAAACGGTATGGAAGAAAAAAAAAGTAACAGTACTGGTACTAGTTGATTTCTCAAATGCTTTCAATACAGTTGATCATGAAATCCTTGTTCCCATACTGTCTCATCTAAATTTTGTCCCTACAGCATTGGAATGGTTTGCATCTTATCTTCGCGGTCGACAGCAGTCAGTCTGTGTGGGGCAAATAACCTCAGCTTGGGCTGATGTGGAAGCTGGTGTGCCGCAAGACGGTATTCTTTCTCCTATAATTTTTTCTATTTTTATAAACTTTATTACCTCCATCTTCTATCGCTCGTACCATCTGTATGCCGATGACCTTCAGCTATACGTGCAAGCTGAAATAGGGGATATCCATAATGGGATTAAAAAATTAAATAACAACTTATCAACTATCAAGGATTGGTCTACTCGTTATGGAGTGTTGGTCAATCCTTCGAAATGCCAAGCTATACTGGTGGGTAGCTCAAGGATGCTAGCCAAGATTAATCTTGCAGACATACCCCCTATCTATTACAATGGGATTACAATACCTTTCAGTAAGTCTGTAAAAAATCTTGGCCTACGCACGATTAATTGGAGAACTCAAGTTACTGAAGTCAGTCGTAAAGACACTGCCACGTTACATTCTCTGTATCGTTTAAAACATTTTCTCCCCACAAAGTCTAAGATCATGCTTGTCCAATCGCTCATATTACCCATAATTGATTATGCAGATGTGTGTTACCCGGATCTGTCCCAGGGTCTTCTGAACAAGCTGGAACGCCTTCTCAATAACTGTATAAGATTTATTTTCGGGCTTCGTAAGTGTGACCATATTTCGCAATATAGATCTAAGCTTAATTGGCTTACAATCCGGCAGAGACGTATTTCCAGAATATTACTTGTTCTTTTCTCCATATTAAATGTCCCGTTTTCGCCTTCTTATCTTAAGAGTAAATTTCACTATGTCTCCTCATCTCATGATAGGGTTCTACGTTTTTCTTCTAACAACAAAATATGTATTCCAGTTCACTTCACTGAATTCTATGGTAACTCCTTTACAGTTCAGGCTACACGCCTTTGCAACTCCTTGCCTGACGACATTAGAAAAGCTCGTAATAAGTTTGTTTTTAAAAAGTTGGTGCGTAATCATCTGTTAAAGACAACGCTTCTTACATGAATCATCATCCATGTCATTTATATTTTAGTCGTATATATTTACAGTTATTTATATGTACTATTTGTATATTTATGTTGGTATGAATATATGTATGCTTATGTATGTACGTATATATTTGTATACATGTATAAATAGGATATGTTTTTATAGTTTATTTATTGTATATATTAGTAAAATGTATATATAACGTAATTAATTATCATTTCTATTTTGTTTTTATTCTATATTGCTACACCTACTTCAAATTCTCACCACACCATGGATGGACTGGCAGAGAATGCCACAAGGCATTAAGTCCGCCCTTTGTATTCTTTTAGATTAAGGAATGCAATGAAGAATAAATAAAATAAAATTATATTATATATATATATATATATATATATATATATATATATATATTAAGTATATAAATCTATATAATATAAGTCTGCTATAATATCTTTATATGCAACTTCTAATTTTTCCTATTTCAAATAATAATTAATTAATCGTCAGCATATAAGAACAAAACATATTCTTCGATGCGACAGCTTTGTATTAAATATCCTTTCTTCTTATAGCCTACTACTGAAAATTGATTACATAAATTAATGTAATACTTCAAGGAATCTGTAACCTTGCATGCATATGTATAGGGTACATAAATGTTGCTTTAATATACTACAAAAAAAATAAATAAAAAACAATTATGCTTTGATAATTTAAATCAAGTAACGGTGAATTTACCTTTTGTAAATATTAGTATGCAAATGTTAAAAAAGCATTATAAAGTTGATCCTCTGTAGTTAATGCGCCATAAACATAGTAAAGTTAAGAAAATTATAAGGATTTCGAATTACGGATGTCATTAATGCATTGCCTACACGACGGTGGTTATAAATACCAGTTATCGACAAATCGAATTATTCATTATCCGCTCTGCGTCTGAACTGATCGCATCAAAAGAAACAAAGTTAAAAATGGCGTACCTGGGAAAGCTGTACAAACATGACAAGGATGAGAACTTTGACACTTTTCTCAATAGTCTGGGTAAATATATTGTTTATTTTATATTTGGGTAAAATAAATTTCAATGTTATTGCAAAACGCAAAATTTTATTCATTTTTATGGCTATCAGTAAAAAAAAAATATAAAAACAGTAAGTTTTTTTCACTTCAAAGCCATTGCTTGACCGCAGTACCACCTGGTGTGTATGAATGGTAATGATGCCCTAGATGATAAATCGCACTCTCTTAGCGTAACAAAAGGCTATCCACTTTTAGTTTTAAAGAGTTTATTATCTCAAAAAAGAACAAAAATTCATTTATATGAGATTTAAAAATAACATAATTGGTAAAATAATATATTTACACACGGTGACTTTAAAATAATGTTTGACAGTGCTTATTTAATTCATCTTTAAATTTTGAAAAATATTTTTCATGAAATAATTCGTTCGGTAGGCTATGGTACAATAGCGCTTCCTCAAACTGAACAGTTTTCGAACCACAGGTTTTAGTCCTACTTTACTTTTGCTTTGAAGACGCCCACATTGCATTCGGACGGAAAGACAGACGTCGGCAAATTATTACACTCCTTTGCTGTACGCATAACGAAGAGAAAAAGTCAGAGAACATCGGCAGAAGTAGCTGGAAACTAGTTCACCTTCCTCGGGGAAGGCTGTTTATGGAAATATCTGTCAAGAATCACTTTTAAGTCAACACAATATGGACAACTAGTTTACACCGCAAATGAGAAAGCCGATCTTTAAGGATTTCTTTGTGTGTCTAACTTCGATGGCAGGAGGAATATACCGCCAACTATCTCGCATCGTTAACGCCTCATGTGGTTCACACAATGCTGAATACGCAAACACTTCTCTCCCTGGACATCCACAAGTCGAGTGGTCCTAACAGAATCCTCCAACTGTACTTATCTTTCGGTACTACAACTTTTCAGGTATTGATACATCATGAAGGACAACTCTTATGCATACGACTCATCATCATCGTCATTACAGACCTTCACAAGTCCACTGCTGAACATAGGCTCCCCCAAGGAATGCAACAAAGCATGGTCCTGAGCCACTGCATCCATCGACTTCCTGCATGTCTTACCAGGTCGTCACTCCATCTAGTGGAGGGACGCCCTCCATTTCGCCTGCCATTACGAGGCTGCCACTCGAGAACCTTTCTTCCCCATCGGTTATCGGTTCTTCGAGCTATATGGCCGACCCATTGCCACTTCAGCATACTAATTATTTGGACTATGTCGGTTACTCTGGTTCTACTGCAGATATCCTCGTTTTTAAGTCTATCACGCAGAGAAACGCCGAGCACTGCCCTTTCCATAGCTCGATGAGTGACTTTGACCACGTCTCAAATCCGTAGGTCATCACTGGCAATACGCACTGGTTGAACAATCTAGTTTTGAGGTTCTGAGGTATCTCTGATGAGAAGATATGTCGTAATCTCCCGAACGCTGCCCAGCTGAGTTTAATCTGTCGATTGACCTCTCGGTCGAGGTTGGACTTACCTAGTCGGACTATTTGTCCCAGGTTAACATCTTCGTCAACAACTTCGAGCTTAGTGCTCCCAACAACTACCGGCATAGTTTTGACATGGACGTTAAACATGATTTTTGTTTTGTCCATGTTCATCTTAAGACCTACCCGTATGGAGACACTATTGAGATCATTGACAACGTCTTCCAATGCAGCGGTGAAGAGTTTCGGGGATATTACATCACCCTGTCTTACACCTCTCTGCAATTGGATAGGTTTCGTACTCTGGTTCTATACTCGGATAGCGATCGTAGCCCTATTGTACAAACAGTTCAGCACTTCGATATACCGTCAGTCAATTTGGCACCGCTAGAGGGACTGTAGTACCGCCCAAATTTCGACGGAACCAAAGGCTTTCACATAGGCCACATACGCAAGACAAAGTGGCAGATTGTACTCTGCGGTCTTCTGTACAATTTGCCGAAGGGTATGTATGTGGTCTATGGTGCTAAAGCCTTTTCGAAAAAAACGGTTTGTTCGGGAGGCTGGAAGTCGTCAAGTCTGCATGCGAGACGATTCGTAATGACTCTCGAAAATAGCACGTAGACGAGGCTCAGAAGGGAAATCGGACTGTAGTTCTTCAAGAGAGCATTTTCGCCTTTCTTGAAGAACAAGACCACCGCACTTCTGCTTCACGCCTCCGGGGTAGTGCCTACATGAAGGACGGAATTAAAGAGCTTCTGAAGGACTTTAAGTACCGGTATTCCACCCGCTTTCAGAAGCTCCGCTGTAATTCCATCCTCGCCTGGGGCCTTGCCGTTTTTAAGGTGCTGGATAGCCATTCTAATCTCGCTCAGACTGACGTCTAGAATATCGTCGGAAATATATATACCCCCCATGAGCAATGACATTATGCTCATTAAAGCATTTTAATTGTTCAAAATATTATATCTATGATATTGTATATAGAAATTAATTGATATTTATTTATAATAATAAAGCACCGTCACAGCATATATGGTTACATTACAGAATAATCAATTATACATTGTTACTTACTCTTATAATTACAGGCAATCACAGCATGTGTTGTGTTAAGCAAGTGTTCCAAAATTTAAAAAAAGAATCATTATATACCACGTTTTTCTTTTCATATTCTTACACTGCCAGTTATGATCAAAATTTCAAATCTCTAGCTCATCGCATAGTTAGTTTAAAATCAATTACTAAATTCGACCAGGATAGACATTCACCAACTCACCATCTTCTTTAAATTTAACTGACATTCAGGAATGAGTTAATAAAAACATGGTAATAGAAACACTTGCTGTGATTGCCTATAATTATAAGAATTATAAAAGAAAACACCATTAAAAGATTCAAAGTATGTTAAAATTATATATTTTTAAACTACCTGCTTATATCACAGTCTTTTTAAATTTACTGCCATTAATAATAAACTGTCTGCCTTAGGTAAGCACTGCTTACATTAACTGTCGGTGTATCATATTCCTTATTTATTTTTACTATTGGCTTGGCACTATCTTTTTATATTTATTCTTTCCTACTTGTGTGAGGTAGAAATAGGTAGTCTGACTCGGTATGAGCCACCCTTTTACCTTTTTCTACCGCCATACAGCAGAGCGTGCACTACTGTTTTACTGTGAAGATAATCTGGTGAAACATATATTTTTTCATATAAAACTGAAGTGAGGAATGAATATATTTAGTACAATCCACCCGATGGTAAATAATTACTGCGGTCCATGGACACCTCGGGCCAACTTCAAACAAAGAAGGTTACAGATGCGTAATTTTTTTGATTGACTTCTCAGTACTAAGATAGAAGCCTCGCCGCCTTAAATTGTACTGGATCTCCTTTCTAGTCAAAACACAGCTATCTCACACATACTCACTCAAATCTCAAATCTATCTCATAAACTATATTAAGAAACGAGTTACCAAAATCCAACTGTTAATGGTGCGATAAACCCAAGAAACCACTCAGGATTGGAGAGGTGTATTTACAATAATTATAAGAAATCCTTAAGATTCATCTTAAGATCATGAGATTTTCCTAGTGAGATTTACAACCTTGTCCTGATTTTTTTACATATTTTGTTATTTCATACACAATTATAAATACTAAAAAAATTTATATAAAATATGCCCACATATAAAATCATGTATAATTAATTAATAATTATTAAAAGGTATTATTTACTAAGAGGGTAGGGATAACCATAGCTTGAGCAGAAATAAGAGTAAAATGAAAAACAAAAACTTTGAAATGAAAAAGTAATATAATACGCGTACGATGTTCAAAGAATTTGAAATTATGAATGAAACATTTATTGTATAATATGAAAATTACTCAAAAATATAAACATAGATACTAACAAGGATATAGGTGGAGCGATGCGATGCGAGTGAGTTATAGATGGGCGAACGATTAGTGGACTGTATTATTTTATGCGTGGAATTAATTTAATGCGTTGGCTAACACGAAGGGAGATGAGCTGCTGCGGATTAGGAACAATAAATAAAAGAGCTCAAGAGAAGATAAGCTCAGTATCTTGAGAAGAGCGGTGTGCCTCGTATCTCATGACAGCTGCTGCTGCGCACGCGATGATCTACGATGATACTAAATTTATTCACAACTAGCTGTTCACCGCGACTTCGCCCGCGTGTTATTTGGGGTTTTAATTTTTTTGCGTGGAACCCTAATTCTTTTTCCGAAATAAAAGTAGCCTAAGTTACTCCTTGTGACATCAGCTATCTGCCAGTGAAAATCCCGTCAAAATCGGTCCAGCCGTTTCGGAGAGTAGCCGGAACAAACAGACAGACAAAAACTTTAAAAAATGTATTTTTGTTATTTGTATCGTACATACTTTCATATGCATTTAGTTAAAAGCTGTAATTTTGACATTACAAACAGACACTTCAATTTTATTTATTTGTATAGATAAAAAAGTTCTCATTTCTTCTTGATAAAGTCATGTGCACCAAACAAACTTCCAACGATTAAATAATTTAAAAAAAAACATTACACCATCTTTCTTTTAGAAGAGCGCACTGATGATAAGACGATCGGACCAGCGTCCAAAAGTTGCTTGCTCTCACTTGCTTGATAGACATGTGCGGGAAAGGTAAGATAGGGGAAGTATATTGTGACAGCCAACTTAACTAATAAAATATATCAACGTAAAAATAGGAAATTCAAAGGTAAAGGTATGCGTTGTTGCGACCAGATATATTAAAACAATGTATATTCATTCTCTTTTTAGATTTTCCAGCCGACATAATTGCTGCCTACTCGAACTCCAAGCCTGATCACAAGCTAGAGAAGAACGGTGATTCATACACTTTGACCACTATTACACCAGATCAGACTAAAGTTGTCACCTTTAAGGATGGAGTAGAATTTGATGAAGAAGTTACAGGCGGACGAGTTGTAAGTTTACCACATATTATTATACTTGCTTTTTACCCGCGTCTTCGCTCTATGGGCCACAATTTAGGAACATCGTTATTGCTGTTCCGTGCCAAAATTAGCAAAATTTTATCACTCTTAGAGTCACCTTTTTGTCTGTGTCTGAACCTTTTTATGTAATTCGTGAATTAAATTTTAAAGAATTGCATTAATATTGTACGTTATCATATCATACAAATATATCTATCATTTTTTAAATAGGGTGTGCCTTCCAACGTATCTTTATGAAAGTTAACTTTTCTTGTAATCAAGTTACAAGTTGTAATTTTGACAAAATGATGGTGAATTTCATGGTAGCTGATCGAACCCGACGAAAACCGTACTGGCGGTCACTAATCAGCTGGTGATCCTCAAGGTACCTCATCAGTTGGCAGTTTATAATGAATTCCATTACTTTGGTGATGGCGATAGGCCTGTAGTTGAACGAGTCTGAGCGGTCGCCTTTTTTAGGGATCAGGTGGACCAAAGCTGTCTTCCATGAATTCGGGACTACGCCTTGGGAGTAGGAGTACCGGAAAAGACGCGTTAAACCGGTGCCAACTCTGGAGCACACGTGTTTAGCATAATGGGAGGGAGTACATCGGGTCCACTCGACTTGCTGACGTCCTGGGAGAAGAGTTCTTTGCGAAACCGCACACCCGGCATGGAGCACTCACATCGTGGGATAGTCGGCGGTGTGTTCCCCCCGTCATCTAGAGTCGAGTTGGATTCAAAGAAAGAGCTCAACAGATCGGCTTTCTCCTTTGCGACTTTGGGCAAGGAGTCTTCCTCTTTGTGCAGAGATGGAAGAGATGGCTGACTTAAGTTCCCTTGGACAGCCTTGGCGAGAGACCAGAATGCACGCGTTCCCGAAGAAACGCGAACTAGCTTCTCGCCAATTCTGCCGATGTGCTCAGACATTGCCTTGGCAATGACGCTTTACAAGGACCTGGAGGCGGAATTATACTTCTTTTTAAGAGCGCTGGTGTTTACATCCCGAGACTTTAATGCGTCAGCCTAGGCCCGGTAGCACTCTTGCTTATAGCATGATGCTATTTTACAGGAGCGACCAAACCATGGCTGGGATCTGCCTCCGATGGGCACCAAAGAGGATGGAATAAAAAGTTCCATACCCTAAAGTACCACATCAGCAACAGAATCGGCAACAACCCTGGGATCTTCCGGCGAGAAGTAAACCCGCCACCAAGGGTAGGATGCAAAAAAAGACCGCATTCCGTCCCAATCGGCTGACCTATAGTGCTAAATACGGCGGCAAGCTGCAGATCGCAACTGCGATTAGAGCGTGAGTAGCACCGTACTCCGGATCAGACAATGTTCCAAAGAGCCCAGAGGGGCACGGAGACCTGATATCCGTCCGGATTAGAGGTCAGCAGAAGGTCCAATAGGGAAGGTACATGGTCGTCCACATCTGGGATCCGGGTAGGCGAAGTAAGCAGTTGTGTTAGACTATATGCCAAAGCAAAGTCATAGACAGATCTACCGGCATGATCGGTTAAACGAGAACCAAGCCATTCAGCGTGGTGGGCGTTAAAATCACCGAGTATCACGATCTCTGCGGATGGGACCTGTTGTAGCACGGAGTCTGCAGCCATTTGGACGTAGTCGATGAGTCGTTCTGTGTCGGAATTGCCGCTATGGGACCTATATAGGCACTCGCAGATGCAGGGATGGTCATCGCTGTCTACGCGCAACCATAGGATGGACAGTTCAGGCCTTCGATCGCGTCTGGCACAAAGCACTTCTTTCGAAGCTTCCTTCCTATAGGCTTCCCCAGAAATTGTGCAAATGGATCACCAGTTTCCTTGCTGATCGGAGCATCAAGGTCGTAGTAGACGGTGCATGCTCTGATTTCAAGCCTATCAACGCTGGTATTCCACAAGGCTGCGTGCTATCACTAACGCTGTTTCTTCTGCTTATCAATGATATGTTGCAAACCAGTAACATTCATTGCTATGCAGACGACAGCACTGTTGATGTTTTATACTCCAGCCGTGTCAATATTTCTCCGGAAAACGTCGTCGAGTACCAGAAAAGACTTGTGTCTGAAGTCGAGACTTTGTTGGACATAGTCTCAGACTGGGGGAGACTAAACCTAGTCCATTTCAATCTCTAGAAGATACAAGTTTGCGCGTTTACCGCTAAAATAACCCCTTTGTCGTATCTCTTCAGTTTCAAGACACTCCCCTTGCTGCCTCAGCTAGCATCGAAATCCTTGGCGTCGACATATCGAATAGTGTGCAGTTTCGTGATCACTTGGAAGGGAAGGCCTCTAAAAAGCTTGGCGTGCTCAGCAGAGCGAGACAGTATTTCATGCCGGCACATCGCTTGCAACTTTACAAAGCGCAAGTTCGGCCTCACATGGAATACTGTTCTCATCTCTGGGCCTGGGCACCCCAGTGCCAGGTCCTTGCACTTGATCGCAACCAGCGCAGAGTGGTTCGAATCGTCGACAACCGAGTTCTTTCTGATCGGCTCGATACATTGGCACTGAATAGAGATGTTGCATCTCTTTGCGTATTTTATCGCATCTATCACGGGGAGTGCTCTGAGGAATTATTCGGACTAATTCCAGCCGCTCAATTTCACCATCGCACATCACGACAAAACTCACGATACTATCCCATCCCATCTGGATGATTGGCGGTCCACCACTGTGCGATTTAGTTTTTTCCCTCGCACAACTTCCTTGTAGAATCGATTACCACCAGCGATTTTTCCGGACCGATACGACTTAGAAACCTTCAAGAAAAGAGCTTACACCTTTCTAAAAGGCCGGCAACGCATCTGCAATTCCTCTGGTGTTGCGGTTGTTCATGGGCGGCGGTAGTCACTTACCATCAGGTGTGCCACATGCTCGTTTGCCCCCTCTTCTATAAAAAAAGAGGCAACAGAGGCCAGCTGAAACAGGAGATAGGCACTAGCTTCTTTGTGATAATAAATCAAAATGATAAAAACTATGGCTGCCAGCGCGCCTGCCAAGCGTGGCAACTACTACATTTATCAAGCCTATTTGCCAATCAATGGAGGAGGTAGTTATTCACTTCAGTTGACTTTTGATAGGTTGTAATGATGATGATGATGTCGAATGAAAACAAAAAAGAAACATCTCCAAAAATATGAATGAAATAAAAACTGCATAGTATTTTTTTATAGGATAAGGGTGACAGACGAGCACACAGTCCACCTGATGGTAAGTGGTTGTTGCGGCCCATAGACATCTACATCTATCCTCTATTACAAATCAAAACGCAGAAGCGTTGTCACCCGTGAGGACTAAGATGGAATGCCTCATTTCCAGTAAAAAGGGCCTCCGGCCACCTGCACTCACCAAGCGAAACGCAGAGGTAAACCTCTATTTCACGCTGGTATTCTGTGAGGTCGTGGTACCACCCCGGTTCGAGCCGGCCCATCCGTGCGACAGCAAAAGCTGCCACGTGGCTCTACCACTGTTAAAGTTAGTAACCCCATTAAAGGTAAAAAATTAGAACCTACATACATTTCACTACTTGGCACAGGCCGCATAGAGTTTTGGGGCAATAAAAAGCTCGCTGCATTGACCACAACACGGGATGACCCCAACTGGTGAGCTTCTCAGTTATGCAGGTTTCCTCGCGATTATTTCCTTCACCGTCGGGAATGTGGTAAATCGACACTTCCAAATTACAATTAAAGTAATATAACGAATTTGGGTTGCTTACGTACTATGAAATTTACGTTTGGATCAGTTCTATTATCAGTTTTTAGAAGTGACTTTCAAAATTATATCAATTCAGTTCCGCTCATGGTTAAAATAAAAATAAACTTTTGTTGAAGTAAAATCTGCTTTGTTTGATATTTAAGGTACTTTTTTGCAATAGCCTGTCCATTTATGTCTGGTTTATGAAACCTTTTCTGTCATAAAAATCTTAATATATCTGAAAATATGAAGAAAATATCTTAAAATATAAACTGATTTCTAAGTCTCATTAAAAGTAAAAATAAATAAAGTAGCTTACGTTTGTCTCACGACTGTGCACAGAACTACTAATAGTGTTTTATAGACGGTAAAGAGTATGCCGCAATTGTTCAATGCGTATTAACGTTTTTGACATTTCTACGATTTTCTTTTTAAAGACATCTAAGGTTCCACGTGAAATTATTTTTCACCACTTCACTGAACAAGTGGTAAGTCAGCACATAAAATTTTCTAAACTGTTTTATTCGTCCTTGGAAAACACGCGAAGTAAATAGGCTCTTTTTTAATTCTCCTTTCTGGCTTAATATTCAGGCATGATTTATATATACCAAAAAAAAAACACAATGACGCATTTAACAATTTGTATTGTCTTTTTCTTTCATTCAATATTTTTTAATAATAAAGAAACATCCAAAAGTACACTACCACCCCTCGAGAAAGGCCTGTAATGGATACTAGGGACGCAATACATCAGTGTCTCGAGTTTCAGTTTAATTTAACTTATTTTATTTCCCGACTTTTTGGGTGCTCTAACTATATTTCAGAATGTAACATGCATGTAGCGTGTTCAATTAGATAAACATAGAAAGCTAGGTTATCCTAATTAAAATAACTATTACCGTTACTGAGAACCAATAAGCACTTACCTGGTTATCATAAGACCTTCAAAATATAGCATGTAGTAGCACCCGCGCTCGATTACATAAACATAGAAAGCCAGGTCATCCTAACTATTGCCCTTACTGAGAACAGTCAAGCAATTATCTGGTCATCATCAGGCCTTCAGCGCGTATATGTAGTAGCCCCTGTGCTCAATTAGTTAAATATCGAAAGCTAGGTCACCCTAACTACTAGCGTTACTGAGAACCGATAAGCACTTACCCGTACTCATTTAAATAACTGATGAAAACCGGGCAATCGACGGCTCCGTGGCGCAGTGGCTTAGCAATCAGTTGTTGCGCTGGGGGCCGCGGGTTCGAATCCCGCACAGAACAAGTATTTGTATGGCCTACAAATAATTGTTCCGGGTCTGGATGTTTGTCCTTGTGCAATTTATGTTTGTAAACTGCCTCCACGACACAGAAGAAAATCCTAGTGTGGGGGTAACGTTTTTAAAAAAAAATTAAAAAATGATAATGAAAAATAAATCCTTACTATTTTCATTACTAAGGTCTTATAGCTTGAAGTAGGTAAGGTGCATTATTTAGGTACTTCAAAATAAATAAGAATTATTGTAACGAACTTCTATAAGACTCAAAGGAACAAAATGAACCTATGTTAGGTCTCTCAGTGATCGACTAAAATAGGCAAAAAAGATGATAACACTGCGACACATCTGTATTCATGCCTTATCTTCTACTAAACTAACTATTAGACACTCAATATATTCAACTAAATATCTTAATTATCTTAATTATTCTGCCAAACACGGTAATTGCGGTAAATCATCACGACAATGGCAATACGTGGTAGAGCCATGCTGCAGCTATATTAATGGTGTTGTTGTAGCACAATAATAAAATACCAGCGTAAAATAGCAGCTTAACACTGCTGTGTTTCGTATGGTGAGTGTAGAGAACTGGAGACCCTTTTTACTGGAAAAGAGGCATTCCATCTTAGTCCTCACGGGTGACAACGCATCTGCATTTTGATTCGCAAACGAGGATAAATGTAGATGTCTATGGGCCACAGCAACCACTTACCATCAGGTGGACTGTGTGCTCGTTTGTCACCCTTATCGTATAAAAAAACACAGCTTTGCACAGCTTAGTATTTTAAGTCTGATAAGTTTTGATGCTGCACGAATAAGTATTCAGTAGCATTCTATTATTTAATTTTATTAGTTACTTATTATTGTTAGTTTATTTAGCAGTAACTTCGTAGATTGTGCTAATATAAGATTAAATAATGAAAGCCAAGACCATACTATCTAGTAATATCAAGGTTGAGGTGCGCTGGGGCTGACCCATGATCCCCCCCAGCTGTCGTCAAATAAAAAGTAAATGTGGCACCAAAAGCACATTTATTTATGATTTAAATTAAATAAAGCACAAAGGATGTGTACTCTGTCATAAATTCTGTTTCTGTTAACAATGACCTATTTGCGCCGCTAGCGGTGACTAATGAAAATATTTTACGATATGGCCATATCAGGAAATAGCGATCTTGTGTTTAGTTGTAAGTACTAATCTCTATTCATTGATTTAGTCTTGATACTTTTTAAATTTGATGATAGATGGCGCTGTTTTGAAAACGTAACACGTAGAACGTCGCTGTAGTTTCAAATTAATACACAACGGTTAAAACTAGTTTTAAAGTTTATTTATAAATATAGCATTTATATGAAAAAAAACACAACCGTTATTCCGCTTATAGCTAACACAATCATCACATAGAAAATTAACATCTAAAGGAAGGAAAATACTTAAGCTTCTTTTTCGAAGTTCCGTAATCGGATAAGCTTTCAATCCATATTATCAATACAATACAATCCAATAACATGCCCTGGGTAACTAACAACCTTCATACAAAATTTCATAGAAATCAGTAGAGTCGTTAGGGGTAACTGAGCGCAGTGGGGAAGTGAGCACAGTGAGCGTATCTCCCTAACGGGGAACGGGGGGGAGGTTTTTGTTTAGGTCGAAAATTGACGCCAGAGTTCCCTGCTAGTCGCTACTTGTCTCTGTGGCGGTGGTTGATGAATAACTTTTTTTTTCATAAAAAAACAGTATATGGTGTTTAAATTCGAAATTTTTTGTTTAATGGAAAACAATGTATCATCGGCGTTATCGATTTCACAACGGTAATTTGTATTTTTTTTGAATAATAATATGTTTACGCTACATTTTATATAAAAAAAAATCATGTTATATTTGTTTTCAATTTATTTTATGGGTTTTCAATTGCAATTTGGTGTTCTGGGGAAAGTGTGCGCGGGTAAGTGTGCGCATGCGTACACTTGCCCCTTCGGTGTTATTTTCAAACCATGCCTTGAAATAATATAAGAAAAAGACCTGAACTTGCATCGGTCACTGAAGAACAAATCTCTAGAGCCAAAGCACTCATTGAGCATGAGCAAAAGAAAGAGCAAAAGAGCTGCTGCAAGTGCCATTGCTATCAGTGAGTATTGTATTCGAAATCGACTTAAACGTCTTGTAGAGGAAGAACAAACTTTTCTTTGGCCTCGACCTCTACAACAGTAGAATACTGTTGTCCTCTATGTAAGCAAAAATATACAGAGCCAAATACTGAAGAATGGAGTCAGTGCATGTATGCAAAGACTGGTGACATGAGGATGCCATCTGATGAGGATGCACTGCATATGAGAGAGGTGTTTTTGTTTGTGATAATTGTATTGATGATCCCTATATTAATATTGTTTCTAATAAATTAGACAATCCCAACTAAAATATGTTAATCTCTAAATATTAATAATTAAAAATTTCTATAATTTAATTTAAATAAATGTTCAGTTTATTTTATTTTATGAGTAGTAGTAGTATATTACCCACCTGGTGGTAAGTGGTGATGCAGCCTTAGATGGTAAATCGCACAGTCTTATCGTAACAAAAGCCTATTCACTCTTGCCTTGAAGACACCCAGATTGTATTCCGACGGAAAGATAGACGCCGGCAAATTATTTTTTTTTTATAGGATAGGGTGACAAACGAGCACACAGTCCACCTGATGGTAAGTGGTTACTGTGACCCATAGACATCTACATCTATCCTCAATAAAGACTCAAGATGCAGATGCGTTGTCACCCGTGAGGACTAAGATGGAATGCCTCTTTGCCAGTAAAAAGGGTCTCCGGTTCTCTACACTCACCATACGAAACACAGCAGCGTTAAGCTGCTATTTTACGCTGGTTTTCTGTGAGAGCGTGGTCCTTCCCCGGTCGAGCCGACCCATTCGTGCTACAACTATATTACTAATATAACTGCAGCATGGCTCTACCACGTATTCCACTCCTTTGCTGTACGCATTACAACAGACGAAGCAAACCGTTTATTTCTAACGCGTGGAATATCAACAACAAAGGGATGAAGACCCGCCGACCGCCTGGTTGTACTATGGTGGAAAGGAGAGGGAGAAATTAAAGCGTGTAATTCCTGCGCACACTCACCGAAGTGCATCCTGTAGAATACTGAGAGACTGGCTATTCTGTGTCTGTGCTCGAGGCGTACAAGATTGGTTTCAACCAAATCAAGGTCACCAATGAGCCTCTTAGCACGTCTCTCCACTGAGTCTAATGCTGCCAGGTGTTATTTTGCATCACAATATGGGTATATGTGACAGCAGTACTCCATGCACGATCGGACTAGCGCTTTATATAAGGTAAGAAGCTGCCCCGGCGTGAAGTACCGCCGCACCCTTGCAATGACACCAAGTTTCCTTGCGGCTGCTTTGGCTCTGGACTCAATGAGCTGCCCATAGTTTAGGTTCGGAGAAAATTCAATCCCTAACAACTGAAGGCGCATTCCGGAAAGTAGGAGCCAAGGTGAGCGGGCTCCTTTTAGCGGTAAAAAGACACGCTTGTGTTTTGGAGGCGTTAAATCTCACGAGATTGGCATCGCCCTATTCGGAGACTGCCTGTAGTGTGAGACTCACACGCTCAACCATAGCCACTCTTTCTGACTGGATTTGATCCCGACTGGCCCGGGCACTTGGTAGATATCTCTTCACAACTATTCTGTCGTCTGCATACTCATAGATACCGAGAATGAGCAGATCATTTATATGCAGTAGGAAGAGAGTTGCGGAGAGAACGGAACACTGAGGAACACCGGCGTTAGTCGCCACAGTACCGGATGAGCAGCCATCGATGACGACCCGAACAGATCGTTCACTCAAAAAGTCCTTCACCCAGGCAATCAAGCCAGGGGATAAGCTGTACGCTGAAAGCTTGCCCAATAAACTAGCGTGCCAAATCCTGTCAAAGTCCTTCGAAACATCGAGGGAAACAGATAAGTGCTTCACCACTGCTACACCACTGGGCTTCGCCCCATATGTGAGTGGCATACTCTAGAAGGTCCCCAGTTGATCCATTTTGGCGAAACCCGTACTGGCGATCATTTTGCTCTAGGTATGCCATGAGGTGGGCGTTCAATATACGCCCCATAATATTGCAGAGTATGGAGGTAATTGGAAATATTAGAAATGGCTTTATAGTTATCAACTTCTTTCTAGTGTTTATTATCATTCTAAGCCTCATTACCAGTAAAAAGAATCTCCAATTTTCTATACTCACCACACGAATCACAGAATTATTCGATGTACTGTATATACCATGTAAAATATAGCTGCAGCATTTCTCTACCATCTAAAACCCGTACTACTAATCCTATCCTGATGTAGATGCTGAATCCTTAGATCACAGCAGCATTTAAAACAAATCCTATGAAAATGGTACACTTTGAGATAGGGTTATGTTTAGTAAAATATTACAGGCTGAGGACGAATATCAAAATGGTATAGTTAATACAAACCTTAAATAGGTAGACAATAAATTTAAAATATTGAAAATTAATCTACCATAATCTTTTATTGCCTTTGATTACAGGTGAAAACCACATTTACTGTTGACGGCAACACTCTCACGCAAGTTCAGAAGTTCACTGATGTTATCGCTATTACTAAAAAGAGGGAGTACTTCGAAGATAAGCTTATCCTGGTAGGTATTCTAGGTATAGCCTACACGCTTTCACAATATACCTACGCCTCTTAATTAAAAAGGAACCGTGATGCCACCCGGGCTAAACGATAAAGATTACTATTTTCATACTTGAGATTCTATTACGTTTTAAGACTGCGATTTTAAAATGAGAAAACTTTGGATATCGATATCTTTTAGTTAGTAAGAAGTTGTAAATTTACGCAGGTATTTAAGCAGAAACATTACAGGCAGTAACGATTTTACAACTAAGAGCCAGCAAGCTTTAGGTGTCGATTAAATATCAGTTGATTTTATTTATTCTTTAAAAGCTTCATGGAAAACTAATAAAATGTAGGTCTACATTATATGTTTTTTTTTTTACAGACACTTACATGGACCAATTGGGATGGCATAGCGCGTAGATACTACAAAGTTTAAATGTAATTTACATAAGTAATTTTAATAAATTATAATGTTGTTATAAATATATATTTTTAGAAGAAGTTTTTGATTTTACTGAAGTACTTAAATATAAGTAGGATGTGAACACTACACATTGAATAAAACTAATTTTTTTGTTTTTTTTTATCGGGGGGATCCCCCGTGACCATGGGTTGCTTTAATGCACTCGAAACGTTGGGAATTAAAATAGTAAATTAAACGCGATAAAATCCGTAAAAAAATAGTTTTATTCGATGCGATGATATTATGATGAATAATGAGATTATGAGAAAATAAATAAATCAAGGCTATGTAAAGGCCAATTACACATAACTGCTGTGATGCACAGATTTTTTTTTTGAAGTGAAAACTTCTTTAGCATCGTGCATCGTTGTGATTTAAAACTCAATGTAACGATAAAGCGACACTAAAACGTGACAAATATATAAATTAATAAGAGGGAATGAGATTTTTTTGTTTGTTTAAACACGCTAATCTCTTGAACTATCAGACCGATTTGATAAATTCTTTTTGTATATGATAGCCAGATTTACGAGAAATGTATCGTACGTACGACTATCTAGCATTAGGCTATACTTCTCAGCTAGCCTTAAATATTGATTTTTGTTAAGCAAGTCGGAAGTAAAATCGCATCCGAAGCGCTTTCCGATTGCGCTAGCGTAATGGTTAGTAATATGTAAGTACTATATTCTACAAAAATATAGATACTTCTTCCATCTAAAATAGTTCACGATACCATATGCCTATTTCATAATTATACACGAGCGACAATAACGATTTTTTTATGAAAAAAAAAATAATTAGAAAGTGATTTATGAGCGTTATTATTAGACTTAGATTATTATTATTAGAAACGAAAATTTCAATCAATTTTATTAAGATAAACTTAGCTCTTTATATCGTGTTATTTGGACGCATAGTTTAAGAGATAATGAAAAGTTAATATTTTAATAGGTAAAAGATAATAAAATATTAAAGACGCGTGAAATTTTTTTAAATAAGTAAATCATTTGCTGTGAACTATTTTGTTTTATATTTCATTTCATTTGAAGGTTTCACTTCTACCGCGTGTGAACTGCGCACATGTTTTTTTTTATGTGACTTAAGAGGTGGACTGGTATTTGTCAAGCAAACTGATAGTCCACCTGATACTAAGTGGCTATTGTAGCTGCAGCCCATGGACACACCATTCACCATTTTATTAGTCTCTACATAGTATAAAACAAAGTCGCTTCCAGCCATCCAGCGTCTATACGCTTAGATCTTTTAACTACGCAACGGGTTTTGCGATCTTCACTAATAGACAGAATTATTCAAGAAAATTAATACATATAAAATTTATACATATAAATCTATCTGTAGCTAGCTTTTTATCCGCGGCTTCGCTCGCGTGAACTTCAATTAAGAAACATCACCAACATTAGCAAAATTGGATCACTTGTAGAGTCACTTCGGTATTTGTGTTTTCTTTTATAGGATAAGGGTGACAAACAAGCACACAGTCCACCTGATGGTAAGTGGTTGCTGTGGCCCATAGACATCTACATCTATCCTCAAATATGAATCAAAATGCAGATACGTTTCACCCGTGAGGACTAAGATGGAATGCCTCGTTTCCAGAAAATAGAGTCTACGGTTCTCTACACTCACCAAACGAAACACAGCAGCGTTAAGCTGCTATTTTACGCTGGTATTCTATGAGAGCGTGCTCGTTCCCCGGTTGAGCCGACCCATTCGTGCTACAACTATACCATTAATATAGCTGCAGCATGGCTCTACCACGTAAAAAATAAATAGATACTATTAATATTTAAACCAAGATCCATTCGTCTAAACCAACTCTGAAAACACTTTTGCCAGTCTTGACCTGACAGGTCGGAAATCGCTTCTTCGCAGGCAGCCACCGAGAGGTGTGTGCAAAATTCTTCGTTTTGAACGTGTCATGAAGATTGTCGTAAAGATAATTAACTCTATAAAGGCTGCGGCAATGCAACACCGTTTGTTTCGGCAGCTTTTGCAAGATGACGATGCTGAGCTGAGTACGCGGACTCGGTTTTGCATACGGAAGTTAGATGGCTGAGTAAAAGCAAAGTGCTTGTACGCTTTCTCAGTTTAATAAACGAAATCAAACAGTTCAAGGCAACCTGGAAATACAAATAAAAAGTCGTCATGTTGTGAAAATGGTTGGATCGGTGAATACATTCAAAGCCAAACTTAATCCGTGGAAATCCCATTTAACAAGAAATCCAACTTCACACTTCCCAAATTTAAATAAAAAAATTTATGACATGAATGTATGTGAAAAAGATATTAATACCATTTCCTTTGTCCTACAATTATCTCTTAAAATACACGCGTATAGTGCAATGCATCAACGTACGCACGCGAATACAAATTTTCAATAATAAAGCACTCAAAATAAAAATACAGAAGCGGAATGACAAAAGTACAATTGCATCATTGTATGATCCAATTGTACTGTTACTTCAAATTATGAGCCAAATTTCATCAAGTTATCGGAAGAAATTTTTTTTAATTTATTTATTAATGAATTTACGATACAGTGGTGTTACTTAAGTCTAAACTCGCCAAACATTTACGTTTCATGGCGAGAGGCGCTCTTTTACATAACAATGAACCACCTTATGTACTACTAATATTGGACACAATAATACACAATTATATAATATATATGTAGTAATATATAAACCTATGACATCTTGTTGTTATGTTAAATATATATCTTTATATGCATGTAATTTTAATTATATGAATTAAATATCTAGTACTTATATGTTACATTGTAATATTTTAATCTAATACGAATTTTTGCACGTGGTAGAGCCATGCTGCAGCTATATTAGTAGTATAGTTGTAGCACGAATGGGTCGGCTCAACCGGGGAAGGACCACGCTCTCACAGAATACCAGCGTAAAATAGCAGCTTAACACTGCTGTGTTTCTTATGGTGAGTGTAGAGAACCGGAGACCCTTTTTACTGGAAAAGAGGCATTCCATTTTAGACCTCACGGGTGACAAGGTATCTGCATTTTGATTCTTTATTGACGATAGATGTAAATGTCTATGGGTCACAGCAACCACTTACCATCAGGTGGACTGTGTGCTTGTTTGTCACCCTATCCTATAAAAAAATACAATGGACTCGTATATAGTTATATTAGCAATCCTGTATAATGTTTAAATGCAAAGCCAAGGATCACACTAATAATAAGTTAGTCATTTAGTCACTATTTTTTGTAATAATTCATTCGTAGTGGGTACATCAAAAAACCGTTTTCAGTGCCTGAAAGACTGAAATGTAGAGACGATATGAATGACAAGCTCGTGAACTGTCCATGCGCTTGGAGCTAAGTTTTGCAAGACCTGCCGCAGAAAAACACAAAAATTCTTCGATCACACTCTTACGCGAAATTCTCTGTTAGACTGCATCCTTCAGCAGATTTGACAGCATATAGGCAACTGAACAGACAAATCTCCAAATGCATGCGGCGAGACTTACGCAACTTTAATACAGCTCGTATTGAAGAAGCAATTGAGCGGAACAATGGCTTTATAGTCTTTGCCAGAGATTTGTATGCCAGAAAGAGCCAACTGTTTGAGTGAGATTTAGAGGTTCTATGGGCAGCTGTACACATCATCGTTGGACCTGCACGTCTTATCCAAAACTATTCCGATGATATCCCGGACGTCAGTCTGAGCGAGATTAGAATGGCTCTCCAGCACCTTAAAAACGGCAAGGCCCCAGGCGAGGATGGAATTACAGCGGAGCTTCTGAAAGCGGATGGAAAACCGGTACTTGACGTTCTTTAGAAGCTCTTTAATTCCGTCCTCTATGGTGGCACTACACCGGAGGCGTGGAGCAGACGTACGGTGCTCTTATTCTTCAAGAAATGCAATAACGCTCTCTTGAAAAACTACAGACCGATTTCCCTGCCGAGCCGCATCTACGTGCTTTTGTCAAAAGACATTGCGAATCGTCTCGCACGCAGACTCGACGACTTCCAGCCTCCCGAACAAGCCGGTTTCCAAAAAAGGTTTAGTACCATCGACCACATACATACTTTTCAGCAATTTGTATAGAAGACCGAAGAGGATAATCTGCCACTTTGTCTTGCGTATGTGGACTATAAGAAAGCCTTTGATTCCGTGGAAATTTGGGCGGTGCTGCAGTCCCTACAGCGGTACCAAGTGGACTGTCGGTATATCGAAGTACTGAAGTGTTTGTACAGACTACTGCTACGTGTAACTAGTGCTACGATGGCTATCTGAGTACAGAACCAGAGAACGAAACCTATACAACTGCAGAGATGGGTAAAACAGGGTAATGTTATATGGGGTGCGAAGTCAGAAGTCCTCCACGTGTGCCTGGTAGTTGCGGGTCCCTCTCGATACGTCTGGAGGGAAGAGCAGATACTGGGCCGGTGCACCCTGGGCGCGGCAGTAATCTTCCTCGAGAAATGAGAAGAAATTCTTGCTCCTTGGGGAATGGTACTGCCGCGGCTAATTATTCTGACATGGGGGGGGGGGGTCCGTCCCGGACCAACGGTGCGTTCCACTGCGTGACCCTCTGATTAGCAGAGGGCATAGCAGAGGAGTGAGGGCGGGCTCGGTGTGCACTTACCCTGCCTCCGGGCAGACAGTGAAGGATTCATCCTTTGCTGTCACCGCCGGTCTCGTAATCCCAGTATCGAAGTGTCGTGGATCACGTCTCGCGGCTTTGATAGGGACCGAGGGTCTTGGCTTAACTGCCCGGACCGCGAGGGAGAAAACCTCTATAAAAAGTTACCCCGAATCTCAAGCGGCGACGCACCGCGAGGGGATGGATGGCTGACGGGGTTCTATGAACAAATCAGTCGTTCGTGCGCTCCTCGCCAGGGTACCTGCAGACCCCCTGGCGAGTAATAAATCCTCTAAATCTGCTTACTTTGGTAAGGGGTCTCTGCCAAGGTGGACCTT